CAGTATGACATCAAACCCAGAAGCCATAGAGGAATATGTAACCTAACTAAGTAAAAGTTTAGTATTTCATTAGAGAAAAATATACCATAGAAAAGTTAAAAGACAAAAAAAAAAACAAAAAAACCCAGCCTGGAAGAAAGTGTTGCAACACATAAACAAAGGGTTGATTCCCTAATATATAAAGAGCTCCTCTAAATAAGTAAGAAGACAACCTCACAGAATAATGGGCAAAGGATATGAATGAGCATTTACAGATAAAATGCAAATGGCCAATAAACAGATGAAAAAATTTCCAACTTCATTAAAAATCAAGGAATTGCAAATTAATTCAGGGTCCAAGGGTCCCAGGAAGGCTGTGATGGGGTGATAGGAAAGGTTGTGGTTTTCACCTTCCCACAGTGAGACTCTGCTTCTGATGGGTGAGATGAACTTCTTTCTCCCCTGAGACGGGATCCACCTCTGCCCCAGGAATGGGCGCGGACTCTGGCTCCCTGTTTCCTTTGGGAAGCACTATTTCCTCATTGCATGCAGCCTGGGAGTTGAAGCAGGAGCCTCAGAAACTCCAGAGAACCTCGGAACGAAAGGGGGTTTGTGATGTCCTTCTCCTCATCCTCTGCCCCCAGACAGAACCATCCCCTCCCTGTCTCAACACACCAGCCCCTCAGGATTCTCTTCTAGACCCAGAAAGTCTGTCCTGATGTCTAGCTTCAACTCTAGCTGCTGTAGTGTTGGCTCTGGTCCCCCCGGGAAGGACTTCTTTCTGGAGGTTTGGTACCACACATTCCAGCACCCTAATTTCAGGGCCTGCAGCTGTAGCTGCAGCTGGGCTCTGGCCTGGATGGGCTGGAGCTGGAGCTAGTTAAACTTCCTGGGCTGGGGGAAGCTGTCTTTCTGAAGCCTGAAGGTCAGAACTGGTTCACTGTGTGCCGCTGAGCTCTGCCCAGGGCCAGTACCAGGCCTGATGAGCCAGGCCTGATGAGCTCTGCTTTGAGCCAGTACCAGGCCTGATGAGGGATGAAAATCCCTGGGGCCAATGTCTGCCAGGCTCTAGTCAGAGGCAAGACTCTGGTGACTCCTGGGAGAAGGAGGAGCTTGTCCCCACCCTTGGTAGCCCCAGTGTGCTGGCAGAGGGCCCCCTCCCTGTGCCCACGTTAGGGCTGCCCATCTCCTGTCCAGTTCTGCTCCATGTGAGCTGGACTTGTCTTCCTAGAACAGGTGTCCAGGTCTGGGCCCACTGCTTCCCAGGCCTCCCTTCTCACTCCATTGGCATGGAAGACACTTAGGAACCTCTATGGAGGATGTGGGCCCACGCAGAGCTGCCATGAGGCCCTGGGGCCCGAAGAGCCCATGTCGAAGAAGGATGGGAGAGGTCTGGGGTCAATCAGGATGGGCTTCTGCGGGGAGACCAGGCAGCTCCTTGGCTGTGGATGATGGAGGAGCTCTGGCCAGAGCCGTGGAGGGTGTGTGGCGGGGGTGCTGGGTTGGGAGGTCTGAGCCTGTTCTGGTTGGCTGACCCTTTGGGAAATCCAGGGAGTTTCCAAGCCCAGAGCTTGGTTGGGGGGGTCCAGTGGGGAGGGACAGAGCTAGAGTCCCGAGGGTGGGGAGGGCAGGCTTCTCCTGTCTTGTCTTAATCCCTCCTGCTGCTGAGAGGCACAGTCACGAAGGTGGGGAGGAGCAGTGCCAGCGCATGTGTTCACTGTGTGTGAGTGTGAGTGTGTGGGTATCTACATCTCTCTTCTTATGCTCACATGGGCCACTGTGGGTGTGCAGTTAAGTGGTGGAACTATAATGCGGTGCTGGACATGTCCATGGAGAGTCTGTGTCTCAACGTGTGTGTGTGTCTGTGTCTGTCTATCTGTCTGTGAATGACGCTCAGAAGGGCTATGAGTGCCTGTGAGTGTGCACACACGGGTGTGTGCGCGTAACTGTGTTTGCAGGTATCCATGTCTGTGCTTGTGTCTGAGAGTTGTTCTATGTGTACCCAAGAATCCATAGCTCTGCATATGCATTTCTGTGTGTCTCCCACCCTTAAGAGCGACTCTTTCCTGTCACAATCTTTCCAATCAGCCTGCTCTATCCCCTTCCGCCGACCTCCAGGTGCCCTCCTCTCCCCGCTCCCTTCCCTGAGGTTGAGGGGCTCACCATCGTTGGAGACCTCAGACACCCTGCCCCAGTAAAACCGCATGGCTCTGCTGATCATGACTAATGGGGCCCTGACTGGGGCGGAGGCTGCAGGGGCGCCCTCCTCAGGCTGGCCCGCACCGGAACCTCACCCATACCGTTCCTACCCCGCCCCTCACCCTGAACCCCTGGCTGTACCGCCCTCCCTCCTGCACAGCTCACCCTCCCTCTCCAGGAAGCAACCTCCCCCCTGAGGCTTTGGGGAGACAGGGAAGTCATGTTCTGAGCTCCCGGGGGGCCTACTCTGGGGTTGAGGACCCTGACCCCTAGGGCTGCCCTCACCTAGGCCCAAGTCAAGGTGAACCCAGAGAATGGGGTCAATCGCTCTGCCCCCACCTTCTCCATCTCGTAACGAGGGCCCCCTTCTTGCCGTGCCACGTTTCTCCTTGAAAAACTTGGTTTGATATCTTTTTCCTGGGCACTCTGTCCGCCACAGTTGCCTCTGGGGCTGGGACCGGCCAGCAGGAGGAGGGTGAGGCAAACAGGGCCGTTCCCATAACCCCAGGGGCCAGGGGCAGGGGAAAACGGTAGGAGTTGGCTCAGAAATCTGGACCTATGCTGAGCCTAAGGTGACACTGGTTCAGAGAGGCCAAGATGTCTCATGGTCACACAGCACGCCACACATGGCAACCTGGAGAGGGGCTCTGAGGGCAGCATGTTCAACTCTCCTCCAGGAGCAAGAAACCCCCTGTGCTTCTGACACACACATTCATTTATACATAGTCACCGTGCCAAGTCCTGTGCTAGCCACTGAGGACACAGCGGTGCCAGGCAGACTGTCCTCAAGTTGTTTCCGGCCTCATGCATCTCCTCCAGCAATGAGGAGCTCACTACCAAAGCTGTCCTGGAGTCCCTCACGGCACAAATTCAGCTGGTCGGAGACACCCAAGGCAGCTCAATACTTTTCTGGAAACCATGGGTGAAGGGGTGCGGGTGCCCAGGCAGAGAGGATGCAGACCCGAGTCCTAGCAGCGCTCTATTCACCTGCCACAGCCCAGAGCATGTGTGCAGAAGGGCCACGCTTGCACAAACCTGACCTGGGCTGACAGGCCCTTCTTTCAAAGGCTGGCCTGGTCCGTGCTGCTTTATTGCCCAGCTAATGATGGTGATTAGGCTGACAGGTGCCGACTGCCTCCTGTCTGCCCTACCACCTGCTGAGGATGGTTTCTGAGCACCGAGGGGAGGCCTGGCCCCCAAGCTCTGCCAGGGCACCCACCACAGCCGACCCCTCAAACCCCAGGCCAGCTTTCATCTATCTCCTCCCCAGAGAAGGCTGGGCCAGCCCTCCATCCCTTGGGACTGCCATGTGACCTTAGTCCACCTCTGGCCCTCTCTGAGCAGTACTGAGGGGAAAGTCAGAGGGTAGGTATGAAGGGGAGCTGATAACAGTGGGCGGGGCATGTGCCCCCGAGAAGCACGTCCACCTCTTCCCCAGCCAGGGCTGGACTAGGGCACCCAAGCAGGGTCTAGAAGAAAGTGGTAGCACAGGGTCCTCCTTGCAGGTGAGGCTGGGGCTGTTCCTTAGGAACCCATTGCATTGTGGGTAAGCCCCTGAAGGAGTCCCACCATTCTGGGCCTGGCCCATTCCCAATGGTGGTGGGCGGGGATGGGGTGGTGCTGTGGAGGGGTCTGTTGCCTGGGGCCTTGTGGGGGTCTCAGTGTGGGTCGGGGTGGGAGCCGTGATTTATGATGTACTTCATAAATGAGGAATGCCAGCCTGGGGGACTGGGGTGGGGGTGGAGCCATCCTCCTGACACTCCTCACTCCACTGGATACCTGGCATGTCCTGTCAGGATCCCCTGTCCCCTGGGGACAGCCATGTTCTCCCTCCTGCAGCAGGTCCCTCCCATCTGCACCTGCCCGCCACCCTTGAACGCCAGCTCCAGGAGTACTGAGCGAAGGCCCAGAACAGGGCAAATCCAGAATTAAATTCTTTCCGGTTCTCTCTCTTTACAACTCAGCCCTCTTTTATGCGGCATGAGACTGATGGCAAATATCTTTTTTTCCTCCCACTGCAGCAGGAGGGAACCAGACAAGACCCTTGGAAACTTCAATTTAGATATCACTGTCCACATTGAGAGAGACTTAGGTCTGATACAAAGATGAACTTCCAGCCAGGAAGGGATGTCGATCTCCCAGAATGATGGGTGTGGTATCACCCTTCTCCATTCCCATATCTCACCTTGCCAGATAGAAAAAACTCAGAGTTCATGAAGGCAGGGAGGTAGAGGAGGGGTGGAGGTGAGATGGGGAGGCCGAATGACCCCGAGTGTTGTTGGGTTTTGAACTCTGAAGGCTGTGCCAGTTTTGAACCTGTTCCTGTGAATCTCACCTGCATCCTTCTTGCTGCAGGCTGCCATTTTGGGTGAGGGTCCATCCTTGTGGGAGCTTAGCATGGGTCAGCCTGCCTCCTTCGGTCTGGTGGGACTGGTTTTTCCGGCTGGATGAAGGGTCGGTGAGGAATTGGCAGGGGCAGAAGGTTTTATGTAAATGCCCAGGGAGTGCTCTGGGAACGGGGAGGCCGGTTTTCCCAAAGACACGCAGGGACTGGCAGCTCCCAATTAGCCAGGCCAGGTGATGTCAGTGCTGCTTTCCTGGGTGGCTGCGCCCACTCCGATTGGCCTTGGCAAGGATTCCTGGTCATTACCTTCTGCCTAGGGCGGGAGGGGTGCCAAGGGGGCCACCATACAGAACATAGGCCAGGTCCCTTCCCACCATAATCCCCAATCTAGGGTGGACCAGCCCAAGAAAGCGCTGTGAAAAACCATCCCAGACTCAACTGAAAAAAGCTTTAATGTGACTAGTATTCAAGCCCTTTCCCCAAACTAGGGAGGTCGGGGAAAACACAATGCGCTGGGCTGGTCCCAGAAGCTATTGCCATGGCAACCGCTATTAGGCCCTGCTACTCAGGCCACCCCAACCTTGAGTTTCAATAAATATAGTACAAAGGGGTCACGCATCAAGCTGGGGAGATCAAGATCCGGGGTGCCAAAGAGGGCATGTTATACTATCTGTGAACTTACACACATATACTGTTAAGCACATACACCTAGGATCATACACACACACACACACACACACAAACCCCCCTCTCAGATATCCTTACATGACACAGCATCTTCACACCAACATGTACATAGTATATACACATTTCCTCTAGACACACAGGATTGAGTGCACACACACCTTCCTTACACACACACACAAGGTTACGGGCACATGTTCCTTTCTCCCAGTGTTTGGCTTGGAGCCTGGGTGTCTCCTCCCAACTCAGAGGAGTAGGAATGGGTTGGGTCTTCCTGGTCTTGGCCAGATTATACCCCGGTCTAGGGGCCAGGTGTGGTGGTGTTTGACTGGCTGACCACGCAGTGGCTTGCGCTGGTTTGGGCCCAAGCGGGGAAGGTGCCCAGGTCGAAGATGGGGTAGCTCCAGCTGTTGATGGCCAGCATGATGACCAGCACGCCGAGGATGTTGAGCAGGAATCCCGCCCGGGCCTGGTTTGCAGAGAGGCAGTGTGAGCGAGCAGGTGCTGAGCTGGGCCAGCACCCAGCCCTTCGGTGTCCATAGGTGTCCAGGAGCTCTCACTAGCAAAACTCTTCCTTGGGATGTCCTCCCTTGTGTCTAACCTGCAGCACTAAGAAATGCTCTTGCCTCCTGCTTTACTCCCAGTGCTAATAGGGGAAAAAGAAGCTCCTCATGAGCTTCCGGGGTCCTGGGCTTTGTTCCTTCTGAGTTCATCTCCCTGGGTGTGGCTGCTTGGCACCGTGGAACCTTCCCTAAATTCCTCACCCCTTTGTCGTCCACTCATATGGCCTGGGCCTGGCAGGGCCTAAAGAGGCTCTAACTGGGGGTCATGTCCCAACCTCCCTGCTGTCCCCTACCCTAGACAGGGTCCACTCTCAACTCTGAGAATCTCAGGGGCTTTAGGCTACTTTGTAGTCCACAAAGATGGGAAGACAGAGCAGGAAGCAGCGTTGAGACATTTGGGGCCCCTGCCACTCACCATATCAGACACTTTGAGGCCTCCGAAAGAGAAGACGATGGCATTGGGTGGGGTGGCCACAGGGAGCATGAAGGCCAGGGAGGCGGCCAGGGTGCAAGGGAGCATGATATAGAGAGGGTGGAGGCAGATGGCCTTAGCCTGGAGGGGGAGACAGCAGGGCAGAGCTGTTAGCCGCCCTTGTCCCAGAGGGAAAGGTGTGGCCCCCCCCTTCTCCTGCTTCTCACCCCGAACCCACACTCTGGCCGTGAACCCACCACTTCTGCCAGAAGGTGCCGGGTGACCTGGGAAGGGCCTCTTGACCTCTCTGGAGAGAATGACTGTGCAGCCCTGCCCTGTGGGACGTGGGGAGGGGAGGGGCCCATAAAATGGATCTCAAAGGGGCTCGGGGTATCATCAAAGGCTGCAGGAATGCGCCTGGGAGGAAGGGGCTGGGGACGCTCCTGGGAGCAATTTCACCCCATCACCTCAGGAATGACCAGAACAGGGGCTGGGCTCGGGGAGGTGGGCGAGGCCACCAGCGAGCCCCATCAGGATACTCAAGGGGTGACGTCACCAGGGATAGGGTGAGTCAGGAGCCAGAGGGCTTTGAGCCTAGGTAGCTGGAGAGCCCAGGGAAAGGTAGAAGCTCAGAAGTCCTCTCCTGGAAATGAGGGGAAGTGCAGACAAGCCACTGTGACCCATAGTGGGGTCCCTGGGAGGGGGGTGGGCAGGACAGCTGCCTGCAGGAGGTGTGTCTGCAGGGCTAGCTCACCATGGAGGCCAGGATAGGCATGAAGAGTGTGGTGGTGGCCACGTTGCTGGTGCACTCGGTGAAAACAGCCACCACGAGGGAGAGGATAAAGACAATGGCGGGAGGAGGCAAATTCTGCAGTGGGGTCAGACTCTCCGCCAGCCACATTGACAGGGCCGAATCCTGTGAGCAGACAAGGGTGGTATGTGAGAGGCTGTGCTTCCTGGGGTCATAGAATCCCCCGCTGAGGCTCTGGGAGGGTCCTCTTCCTGTCCGCCCCTCTCAAGGTTCTTCGAAATCAAGAGCAGCTTGGGAGGGAAGACCCAGCTAGAACCAAGGGGCCCCTTCTCCTGTTCTTGAAGAACAGAGTGTGGGGAGGAGGGGCAGATGAGAAGCTCAGAAAGGGGGTCGGAGGACGTTCTTGGGAAACCTGGGACTTGGTGGGAGTAAAGACTTTTCCCGACCTCTCTCGGGAGGTCTCTGGCCAACCTTAGCCCTCTGTCTATCCCCTCGAGCCCTGCGGCTCACATAGCAGTCCCAGGGGAGGGAGAGTGGGGAGAGGTCCTGGTACAGATGAGAGGAGACCGACACGAGGGCGTGGCAGGGAGAGCCCACAGGATTAGAAGAGCTCCAAGGTCTTGGCCTGTCCACATCTTTAATGCTAGACCGTGAGCCCCAGTGCTGCCTACCCAGCACTCAGCGCAGAGCTTGGCACAGTTGATGAATGCTTGATGGATAAACTAACCTCAGACCTAGGAGTCCCTGGCACCAGCCCCTGACCCTGGGAAGCCGCTTTCTGTGCGTGCAGTGGATGGGCTTAGCCGGAACACTGAGGCCCAGGGGTGCAGGCTCCAGGATTGCCCTCTTGGGTAGAGGCTCTGGGAACGATTGCTGCCGCGGGCCCAGAGCCTGGCTGCGTGTGGTCACAGCACCCCCTGGTGGTGCAGCTGGCTGGCCTTTTTTTAAAACCAAAGCCAGCTACTCTCAGGTGCTAAAGTCATTGCATTGGGTCTGGAAGGGGTCAGGGGATGGAGTGCGGTGGGTGGGTGGTCACCGAGAGTAATCTGCCCACCAGAGAAACCTGTCTCCCCTTTGGCTTTGAGAACCCAGCTGCGGAAAGATCCCTGTGGCTTGTATTTCTTCCCCCTCTCTCAGAGGACACTCTAACCTCTCTCCAGCAGGCAACTGCAAAGACTGCCAACAGGGGGCCCTGAGTGGGGATCAAGTCTCTCCTGTGAGGGACAGAAGCAGCAGGGCTTCTCTTTTTCTGCCACAGGGTCTCCCTCAAACAGACGGGGGAGGAGCCAGGGGTTTCTCACCTCACTGCCTTGGGCCAGGGCAAAGCCACCACCCAGGAGCAGCATGATGTTCCAGGGCATTTTCTCATTCACTGTCTTCCAGTTGAGAAGGGCAGGAGGGGCCTTCAGCTTCTCTGGGTTTCCTAGTGCCCAAGCAGAAGACAGGTCACCAAGGGTCAACAGGCCCTCCCGCCTTTCCACTTGGGGCTTCCTGTATGGGTCCCTATCAGAGTTTAAGATGTGTGGGAGGGTCTCTGAGTCCTGGCAAGTCACACGAGCCTCTCAGGGCTTTGTCTACTCTTGCCAAATATGGTCTAAATACATGTCATGCCAGAAGGCAGGGGCTGTCCAGAGGCCCTTCCCTGCCCCAGGCCAGGTGCTTACCTGGATCTTGAGTCAGCCCTGGGATCTTGGAGGGCACGATGAACATAATTATGCTGATGAAGATGGCCACTGTCCCATCGGACACGATGCTATGGGTGGGGCAGGGAGGGCAGGCTTAGTGGCTCAGGGCTGCTCAAGGATGCAGGTGTGGAGGTGGTAGACAGGAGCCCCTCCCACAAATGTGCCAACTCCTGGCAAGTATCCCCTTCCCTCCCTCCAGTGTTACCTCTTGTTCTGCTCTAGGGGCCCTGCTCCCTTCCCTCCTCCTTTGGCTAGGTGAGCCCCTAAAGTATTCCCTCCCCCCAGGATGCTCACCTTTCCCCTTTGCTGTTGGGAAAGGCCAGGTTGCCCCAGCCTTTGAAAAAGCCTGGCTCCCGAGTAAACCAGAGCACCACCAGGAGGACAAAGAGGAATGTGACAGCTATTTCTGCAAAGGTCATCCGGCCCAGTTGCTTGTGCTCTCTTTGGATGACTTGGTAGGCCGCCTTGTCTTGCTCCTTTGCCTGTTCCCTGAAGCCAAAGTTCTTCCGGAGGCTGCAGGTAGAGGGGCAGGGGCAGCACAGGAGGGACTCGCACCAGGCCGGGGAGCAAGGGGTTCTGAGTGCCTGTGATGCAGAGGCTGAGGCCTGCAGAGGCTGAGGCCTGCCGAGGCCTTCTCAGAGTTGCTACACTAAGGCCCTGGATCCACCCAATTTTCTGGAAGAAGAGAGATGACCTGGGGAGGGGGCCATCAGCCAGAGACAAGGTTGGGACTGGGGACCAGGTTTCCCCATGCTTGGCCCTGCTCCATCTGCCCCACTGACCCCCTGTCCCTTCCAAGTTTCTCTTGGGCCAAGCCCTCCCCAGCCCAGAGTGAGGGGGACCTGGAGGACCCAACCCCACGCCTCCTCCTGGCTCTGACTCACTGCTCCCCACCTCCAACAGCTTTTCAGGAAATCCCCCCAATCCCTCTCCTACAAGGTTCTGAGCATCCTCTGCCAGCCTGAGCCCCACCCAGATTGTTTCCAGAGGCAAAAAAGGCTTTAGACCATTTCTGTATGCCACTTACTTAACTCATGTTGACTTAACTTTTCATGGGGGCAAATCGCAACTCCCCTGCTGGATGGTGGGTTCCTCAAGGGTAAAGCCCATGCTTCATACATCTCCGAATCCCCCATAGTGCCTGGCACTGGGCTGGTCCCTTTGACTACCATCTTGCCTTGTATGAGCCCCCAACCTCAATCCATCCTCTTCATACCTGCCCAAGTGATTTTTCTAAAAAAATCACAGCAACAATGTTTAAAAACTTTCACTGGTTCCCCACTGCCTGGGCAAGAAGGGCAAATAACTCATACCACAATACAACTCATATCTATACTCACATGCTGTACTCCTAGCAGACATGACTAATTAATCCCAGGCTCTATTCCTACTGAGAGCTAGCAAGGTCTTGCATGATTTTCAACTCAGAACTCTAGTGACTACAAGTAATTGAGGGTTAGAAGTAGGAATAAAATCTGTTTACTACTTGGCCTTAAGGACACGTTTCTAACTTCTTTTTCTCTTGTATATAGTTGTACTATAGGTTTCTTTTTTAAGATTCTATTTATTTATTTTTAGAGAGAGAGGAAAGGAGGAAGAAAGAGAGGGAGAAAAACATTTATGTGTGAGAGATACATCGATCAGTTCCCTCTCACATGCCCCCAACTGGGAACCTGGCCTGCAACCCAGGCATATGCCCTGATGAGGAATCGAACTTGCGACCTTTCGGTTTGCAGGCCGGCACTCAATCCACTGAGCCACACCATCCAGGGCAAGGTTCTAACTCTTTATATGGCACACCAAATCATCCAAAATCTTTCCCCTGTGTATTCTTTTAGTTTCATCTCCTGATACTCATTTTTGTTCTTTTTTTTTTTTTAAGATTTTATTTATTTTTGAGAGAGACAGAAAGGGAGGAAGAAAGAGAGGGAGGAAAACATCAATGTGCACAAGAAACATCGATTATTTGCCTCTTGCATACCCCCAGCCAGGGGCCTGGCCTGCAACCCAGGCATGTGCCCTGACTGGGAATCAAACTGGCGGCCTTTCAGTTTGCAGGCTGATGCTCAACCCACTGAGCCACAGGAGCCAGGGCCTCCTTTTTGTTCTTTATGTTTCAACCACATAAAACTAGAGTTCTCCCCAACATGTCGTGTTCTTTCTTGACTCTGTGCCTTGGTCCAAGGTGTTCCCACTGCCTAGAATGCCTTTACCCCATTCTCTAACTGGCTGACTTTTAGTTTTACAAGACTCAGTTCAAGCACCCTATCCTGCAGGGCCCCACACCTGTGGGCTGTGCTCCCACAGCACCTGGGATTCCCAGTGTCATGGCCCCCTCCATGTCTTCACCCATCAGGTGGTGAGCTCCAAGGACAGGGACTGTGCCTAATGTCTTTTAATGTTCTCAGTGCCTGGTACAGGGCCAGACATCCAGCAGGAGCACAACAACTGTTCTTGGGACTGACCGTGCTCAGTGTGTTTTCCTTAAGCACTTACCAAAGGACCGTGGAGTGCTGTGGAATGGGACCTGGCGGGGGTATCAGACATGGTTTTCAGTCCCAGCACTAGTACACGCATCCAGTTGTGTACTATTCCTTAAGCCCCAGTTTGCTCACCTGATAACTGGGATAATAATACCCTTGGCCCAGTAATTACCTCAAACGGAGGTGGGGGGCTGAGGGGTGGCCAAGTGCACCGAGGAGACTTGGGTGGGAGAAGCCTTTTCACTGGGACGGCGATTTTATCCTTTTCCACAATGGCTAGTTGGGCACCCAACTGAAAGCTCCCAGAGCATAAGGGCAGGGATCTGGGCCCCTCTCAACCGTTCTGTCACTTACTTGAACCCCAGGAAGAGGACTTGAAGCCACAGCCAGGCAAGCAACAGCAAGATGATCATGGCGGGGAAGGCAAAGATGAACCAGGAAGCAAAATTCACCACGTTGCCATTCTCTTTGAAGATCCTGAAGGAGGATGCAGGCCGCTCTGTGACGCTGCCAGCGGCCACCAGGCCCCATTTCCCCCCAGTGAGAATGCCTCAGTCACTCACTCGTTGACCTGGCCTTGCAGCACCAGGTTGGGTGTGGTGCCAGTCAGTGTGGCGATGCCCCCGATGCTGGCCGAGTAGCACACGCACAGGCTCATGCCCTGGGAGAAGCGGAACTGTTCCTTCTCCTTCTGTGACTTTGGCTTCAAAGGACCAGGTGGGACAGGGTGGACCTGCCCATTATCTGGGAACAAGAGAGAGCCCAGGTTGGCGTTGGGGGTTGGGGGTGGGGTGGGGTGTGCGGAGCTCATGGCTGGAGCTCCATGGCCCTTTGGGCATAGGCAGGATACCATGTCAGGGAGCGCCCGGGTCTGGGCTGCTGGCCGGGGGCAGAGACTGGCTTCAGGTCTGCAAGGGCCTAGAACTCCCTGGAGTCTCAGGTTAGGATGACCTCAGACACCAACCTCTCTTGAGAGAGGGAAACTAAGGCATAGAAAAGGGCACAGGATCATCCAAAGTGTAAGGAAGAATGGAGCCTGGACCCCTAATGGTCCACCCAGACTCCAGCTCTCTGCTTGCCAGCGTGACCCAGCATCTTGGTTTTACCAGGACTGAAGGGGTTCCCAGCACATGGGACTCTTTGTTTTAAAACTAGGAAAATCCCAGGAAAACCAGGACAAGTTGGCCACAGTACTTCTTGCCTTCCTCTTCCCCTAAAAGATCCAAGATGACCACCCTTGGGAATGGATGTTCCCTCAGACTCTCACCAAGAGCTGAGGGGTTGGGTCAGGGTCCAACCTCATCTTTCTCACCAAGTTTGGTCACTTCCTTCTGGGGACTTGCTTCCTGAAGTTCGAAGGTGGGGTTGTCTTTGCCCTCCTCAAGGTCCTGGCCCTTGGGGGCCTTGTATAGCTGCTCCAGGACCGCGTGTGCAATGGGCACCATCATGGCTGTGGTGGCCGTGTTGCTGATCCACATGGACAGGAAGGCCGTGACCAGCATGAAGCCCAGCATCAGCCTAGGGACAGACAGACAGACTCACTGGTGTTCCAGTGTCCCTTCAGGGATTGGATGCCCAGAATGCCACCAGCACTTGGTTCTCCTGTCCTGGTTTGTGGGAACTCACAGAGCTGGCCGCACCCCGATGATGAGGAGCACTTGGAGGGCGATGCGTTTGTGCAGATTCCAGTGCTCGACGGCAATGGCTACCATGAGTCCCCCGATGAACAGGACATTGGTGTCGTTAAGGTACAAGAGGCAGACCTGGTAGACAGGGACAGCTGAGAGACAGGAAGACCCTGGGGTCTCCTACTGTGCCCCTGGGCTTACAGGGTACAGCCACTGACAGTTCCACAAACAGAGGCTGGTCTCTGGGCTCTTGGAACCAAATGGAAATGATCTTTGGATTATCCATTATTTAGTATTAACCACGTTCCTCTCTTTCTGCCAAACTTTCTTTCAGGAATGATTGGGTGATAATTTAGCCTGATTTCACTCACATTTACAGCCATGGACCGGGAGATGATAATTTAGTACTGTTTCTAGAAACTAGAACAGTTGTTCTTCAAACTTGGTAGAAATGAAATGCTTAGGCCCTGCCCCAGATCTGCTGAATCAGAGACTCCGCGGTGGGCCACGCAATCTGTGCTTTAACCAGCCCTCCAGTTGAAGAACACTCAAGGTCAGGAGGCACCGAACTAGAAGAACCAAACTCTTTGGCTGGATTTCAAGGCCCCTTTTCCTCTGTCACCAGTCCTTTCCACATCCCTGGCTTGAACCTAATGGCTCCTGCTTTAAATTAACTGGCAACACCACCCTTGCACTTGGCACTTCTAGAATGTCCTTCCCCCTTGTGCCCTAGCTGACTCCTCCTTCAGTGCTCTCTGACCTACCAAGCAGGGACAGGGACCTCTCTTCTGTGTGCCCTGTCTCTGAGGGGGCTTCCTGGGTCCTAAGCATCTAAGAGCAGACCCCTCTGTCCCCGGGGCCCTTCCTCGTGTGGGCCGTTGGTGGTGGGGTGGCTTACCTTGGAGGCAGGCATTATGCCCATCATGGGGAACAGGACCATGGGCAAGAGGGCAGTGACGGCCAGCGGCAGAGCTTCGGTACTCCAGTAGAGAGCCATGAGGATGATGGTGTAGCCACAATAGACTTTCTGTGGGCGGGAGGAGAGCAGCAAAGCTGTTGGAGGGGACAGGCCTGTATCCCAGAGTCATCACCACCTCCTTTTCCCAGAGAAAACAAGCCATGCGTAACAGTGTAGAGAGAAACCCACAGCCTGTGAAACCCACAGTCACTGATTTTTGAGTCCCAGGTTCCATTTCAAAATGGAAATGAAAAGGAAATCAAGGCACTCACTTCTTTGTCTTTGACTTTGGGGAGCCCAGGCTTTATAATCCAGCCACACTGCAGGGGCTGGAGAGTCTGGAGTTGGCTATTAGGCCCCGCCCAGCCCAAGGGGACGGCAGAGGGCCCAGGTGAGGACCCCTCGGTGAGACGGGAGCTGCCAGGCTGGGGCCTGGGCAGTGTGGCCCCTGGCTGGTACTCTGGCTTTCCCTGGCTCTTTCAGAGCCTGTAGAAGGTACTTATTTGTATGATGAGTTAATTAGTGTTTGTTCCCTCTGTCGGGAGGTAAGCTCCATGAGGACAGTTTTGTGGCATCTGGATTCTTGGAACTCAAGACTCAACAGGTTTCAGAGTAAAGCTTTTTTGAATAAAGGGATCACTACGTTTTGGGAAAGGCAGAGTGTCTCCTTCGCAGCAACCCTGGCATGAGTGCTGCATCGCACAACTGCAGGAGGCGCCATTCACATTCGATAGAGTGCGGGAAAGGTTTATACAGGGAATTGGGGGGTGAACGCTGAGTCATAGTCTTGTGAGTCTTGGGGTACCACAGGCCCTCCTTTCTGAAGAGGCCTCCAAATCTAGAGAGGCCTGACCTCGGGTCTTAGGCAGAAATGAAAGTCAGACAGTCAATACCTGATCTCAGAGGTCTCTCACCCACAGAACCTCTCTGCAGGGCTGACAGAGAAGGGGGCGGGGAAGCATTAGCCAGATGGAAGCCTGGGGTGGAGGGCGGGATGGATACCGGTGCCTACATCCTTGCTTCCTCAGGGGCACCTGCCAAATCTTTGTTTGCCAAAAGGAGGCACTGCATGCTGGGACAGTGGGGCTAGGGGGCCTCTCATCTCTTATCCATCTCAACTGCCCTTCCCTTTTCGTTTTGTTCACTTTGCTACAGGCAGGGCTCACCCATTAGACCCTCAAGCCCTGAGTACCCTGAAGTTTGGTGGTAGGGGGGTCCCTGGGGGTGGCCTGGGGGAAGAAGAACCTGCTGTTTATGGAAAGGTTCTTAGGAGCTGGTTTTTAATGTTAAATAAACTCAAACCGCCATTAAGGTGGGTGTGGTGGTTCCCTTAGGGTTGAGCAGGAGAGGGTAAGAGGTTTGCTCAAGGCCACAAAACTAGGGAGTGGCAGAGGCAGCGAGGGACCGAGGGACCGGGAAAGGTGTCTTGATTGCACAATTCCAAGAGAGCGCCCCGTCCAGTGTCGCGTACAGAACAGGTGCTCCCAGTGTGGGGCAGCACACAGCCTTGCGGGAGAGCCCAGTCTGTCTGATGCCTGGCTCTCCTTCTTTACAATAAGCCTCTACCACCTCTCCTCACTCCAGACAGGAACTCCTGGCCTCCGGGGGTGGGGCCACCTTGACCCTTGACCAGAGACCCACCCCCAACTCCTCCCCCAGCAGGAGGCTGATTCTGCTGAAGCTGCTGTTTCCTCAACTGCTTTTTCTCCTGCAAACGTTGCACGGGCCAGTTACTCCTCCTCCTCTGGAGCTAAGGGCAGGCCAGCCCCTCTGGACCCTGGTGTCCCCTCCAGGAAGGGGGGCTGGTGCGGGCCATCACTCTGCTGAATCAAGAAGAAAGCTCTGCTAGTCACGACAGCAGAAGGATCCTGGGGACTACCTTGTGCCAAGCATCAGGCTCTCCATGCTCTGCTTCAGATGTTCCTTAATTGCATTTAGTTGCTCCGGGATGTAATGACTACTGTTCTCATTTCACAGGTATGAAACCAATGCGCAAATATATTAAGTAAATACTCAGAGCCACACAAATAAGTGGAGAAGCCAGGCCATCTGGCTCTTGAGCCTCAGCTTTTACCTTGTACCCCAAGCTCAGTCCCTTGCATTTGAGGGCTGTCCCCTAGCTTCAGGCTCCCTGTAGCTCCTGGGGTATTCGGGGCTCTGAATTCAAACACAACTATTTACTCTGGGGCCTTCCACTTCCTGCGGCCTAACTGCAGACAAGTTCCTTCACTTCCGAGACCCCCATTCCCATACTCCAAAGGGGCCTGTCAGTAGTCAAACCTGCACAAGTGGGCTCTGGTGTGTTCAATCTATGGCTCCCTTACCCCCATTACAACTTCTCTGTGTCCCTCTCTCTGTCTGTCTATCTGTGTCTGGATCAAAACCCAAAACTGGTTTCACAGATCCATCCAGGAGCCCTCCTTGGCCCTAGTGGCTCTGGCGCCGTGTCCTGTCCCCATCCCACCCGGGAGTCTGTCCAGCAGTAGCATAACTTGCTGACCTGTTCTTCCTGGTTCATGGGGTTCTTAACTGGGTGTGGAATTCCAAAAATTCATGAATCTGATGGGAAAACTCTTTCACTTTTTTATAAACATCTAACTAAGGTTATGGACATAGGCAACAAACTCATGCAACGGTTAATGGTACTATTGGTGATTTCACCACAGGTACTTGGCTGTGGTTATTAGCTATTAGAGACCCACGCAGATCAGCTGTTACAGTTATCACAAAATGTATCTCAAAGTATTATTTGCATTTATCACAATTTTGAAATTATGATAGTTATTACACCAAAGCTAGATCGTATTCAATGCCTCCCTGATGAAGCACCTATATTTCTGAATTGCAATTTATTTTTTCATATTTTTATAACTGAATTTTAAAATAATTGATTTCCTTTGTGATCCTATGCATTTCATTTTGTGCATTTCAAAGCAATATTCTGAGAAGGGCCCATAGTCTTCATCAGACAGCCAAAGGCAGCCATGGCTCAGAAATGGGTTAGAATTCCTGACAAGAGAGAGAAAATACCTGATTCCAGCTACTGTGGCCTCCCTGAACCACTCTGGGAATTTTCTAAACTTCCAGGCCTACCCGCATGTGGGAGGGAGCAGGGATCTCTCAAAGCCCCAGCAAAGCGGAGGTGAGCCAGAGTGCACAGTCACAGTGGTCAGGCAGAGCCCGGTGACTGTTTTACAGATGTTCTCTCTCAAGTCCTTCTTACATCTCCATATGACAGTAGGTCTCATCACTCTTATTGAGAGGTGAGGAAACCGAGACTCAGGGATCTAGCCTTGCCTTGTTGACATTTATTGGTTGAACCTTAGAGGGCCTGGGTTGGAGGCTGGGGAGCTGTTTGTGTTCTGAGCCAGGTGCCCGCCCCTTGAGCACCCCGAGGAGAGAGCCCTGGGGAACCTTTTCCCTTGGCCTCACGTGTGTTTTCTATTCCAAAGTCAACGCCCACATCTTCAGACGTGGGAACTCAGGGATCAAGCCTGTTCATCAGGCACTCATTCAACAAATACGCTCCCACTCCACGTCTCCAGTCCTGCCAGGTCTATGCCTCAGAGGCTCCCATTTACTTCTCTCCAGCTTTGGGCTACTAGCCTGGTCCAAGCCTCAGCATCTGTCACCAAGATTTTTGCAACAGCCTCCTTATTCACCTCCCAGTTTCCTCTCCTGCCCCTGAAACCTCTTCTCCTTGCTGCAGTCAGAATGATCTTGAGGCACAAACCTCTTTCATCCACCATCAACCCCCTCCCCTCCACCTCCAACATACACACTCTCACCTTAAAGCAGCTCATACCCTTTCAGGATTTCCCATGGCTCTTAGGAAAAGTTCAGGGCTTGTCTAAGCGCCCCCTCCTGTCCTCTCCGCTGCAGCCACACGGGCCCTCTCCCAGTCACTCCAATGCTTCGTTCTGCCTGCAGCCACAGGGCCTTGCACACAATTTCCTCTTTTCCCTCCCAGCGTTGCCCAGCTGATGTCTACTCCTTCCTGAAATCTTTAGGGAAGCCTCTATGGCTTCCAGGCTGGGATATATTCACCACATTTTGTTTGGTCTTTTTTATAGTCTTAGCTCCTGTACCTCCTCTGTAGAGCATTCATTACAGTCTGTAATGAAACATTTAGTTTCGTGAATATCTTGATTACTATCAATCTTTGTCCTCAGACCATACTCTCCAGGGAGCAGTGTCCCAGTCTGTTTCTGCTCACCCCTGCAGGGTGCCTGGCATCTAGATGGAGGTGACACTCTGAATGAATGAGTGAATGAATGCTGGACACTAGAGATGCAGACCTGAGTCCGGCCCAGCCCCGGTCCTCAGGGAGCCTGAGTGGGCAGGCTGGCTGCCCTGCAAAGCCAGCAGTGGGCAGGAGAGACAAACCCTCCGAGGGCTTCCAAACCCGCAGGCTGGCAGCTTGCTTCCTTTCTAAAGGGAAACAAAGGCCACAGTTCAGAAAACCTGTGTGCCCAGAACCAGCTTAATTGCTGTGTGTCCTCGGGGCTGTTAAACTCTCCCAGCTTTTTCATTTTTAAAAATATTTTATTTATTTATATTTAGAGAGAGCAGAAGGGAGGGAGAAAGAGAGGGAGAGAAACATCAACGTGTGGTTGCCTCTCACACACCCCCAACTAGGGACCTGGCCCTCAACCCAGGCACGTGCCCTGACTGGGAATCAAACCAGTGACCTTTGGTTTGCAGGCTGGCACTCTGTCCACTGAGCCACACACCAGCCAAGGTTCTCTCAACTTTTTTTTTTTGTTTGTTTGGATAAGCAACACCGAGCATTTTCAGCGGTACACACATTTATCTCCTTTATGAGGTTTCCTTATCAACAAATGATACTAAGAGAAACACCCTCTTTGCTGGGTTATCATAGGGATAAGGGATGTGAACATGTAGCTACGGTTATCATAGGGATAAGGGATGTGAACGTGTAGCTACGGTTATCATAGGGATAAGGGATGTGAACGTGTAGCTACAGGCTGTAAAGGCCTGTAGATAGCACTGAGCACATGGCCGAGCTGCTGTTGGGACAGAAGTGTGGTCTTGGGCTGTGGGGGAAC